GTGATATTTGAAATTCTTTTTTTTTTTTTTTTGTTTTTAACTATCGACGCCTTCTTGAAGTTTAGAGATCCTATATAATGCAATCTATTTTTTGAAAATAGATATTAAACGAAATTATATGTTACAATTATTTTCAAAATATTATACTTTTTGTTAATTTGGAGAAATATATTTTGGCAACATTAAAATTCCGACAACCTGTACGTTTATTTTCGATCCATTTGTGCATTGGGTTCTCTCCGCGCTTGGAGAAGCCGCTTGTTTCGAAAGTATTTTGCAAACAAAACGAAGCTACTGAAATATTCACATTACGTATTGCTCTAGCCACCCTGCAGTGGTGTTCGCGCCACCGCCCCGCTTCATGTTCCTTAGAAACATACAACTTTCTATTTACGTCTAAAATTACGCATCCAGACAGCGTTAATAGCGACTCATCATTCGATGCACATTGAATTACCCTGAATTCCAATGTCATGACAGCTTTCATTATCTTTTGACAATTAAAAGACTAAAATACATATTTTTTTGCGCCCTCCTCTGGTTCGAGCTTTGAAGTATAGCTAAGAGGGTAGTAAGATGGAAATTGCAGCAGTCATAATATACTTACCCAAGTCAATACTTACCAAAAAAGTATGCCTGCGTAGCACCAATAGTTTTTTTTAAATGAAAATCTATTCTTCAAAGTTACATCTTTAAGATCCATGTCTGTTTTTGTTGCTTGAGAAATTTAAGTAGTTTCGTTTGTGAATTTCCAGTAAAGTTTAAAAACAATATTAAAAACTTTTAAACAGATAACAAGATATCCATTTTTTTGCTGAATAGAAGAATAATATTCATTTAATAAAATGTCATAGCTTCGATTTCATTAAAACCTCCGAATTTTCGAAAATTTTGAAAAGTTAAACTTTATTTGTTGAAGTTCTGGGAACGCTTGACGTTAGGCTTTATTTTAGGGTTATAATACTGGTTTGAGATTCCACTTTAAAAATTGTGAAACATTTCATATATTTTTTAATCGATATGAGTAACTCGTGGACTCCGGAAAAAAATACAAACATTTTGCACCAAGGTTGCAAAAAAGCGATGGAATGAAAAAAAAATTAAATTAATTAATTGTTGCAAAAACGTTTTAAGCTTTTTATTTCCCTTTCAATTAAGAAATCACTTGTAAATGCTGATTGTTTGTATTAACTGCTAATTATTCGATCGTTAATCTGTGTTACGATAGCCTCTATGCCTACTTCCTCTTTTTCCGGACTTATTTTTTTTTTCTCACCTTCGTTCTCTCTTTATATTATTATTATTATTACTTATGATTATTATTATTATTATATATTCATTATTACGTTTGAGATGAACGTCCAAAACTATTATTAATTTCTGCGTTAATTTTTGTATCTTTCTTGTTCCGCCGCGCGTGCTTACAAAATTCTGGCATTTAATTTACCGCTTATGTTGCGGAAATACGAAACTAACCAACCTTAAAGAATATACGAAGTTCATGTTCAGTGTCGTAATGAAACACTAAGAAGTTTTAGTTGCTAATTGATATTCGAAATTAGTGTGTAAAGTAGTCCTTAATTATTCAATTTGTCCAAAATATATTTTAAACCTATCTGTAATTCATCTTATATTATTTTTGTTATCTTGCTAGCACGTGCCGCTATGCAATTACTGTTAACTTATGTGAACAAGAACACCACTCTTGTCTCTGTTTACCACCTGTGTGTGTAACTGACTCATTTGACGGTTAGTGTAAGTTAACGTGTGGACGGAAGTTAATTAAACCTTCTTTTTGGCGTTTCGTTAAAGTGCACGTGTGTGGAAGTGTAACAGTGTTGAAGAGTATAATATTGAAATATTATGGCCTGCAGTATATGACAACTTTAGTTTCGATGACATTGTATTTTCAATTCGTTAATAATACTCCTGTGTTCCGCTATGTTTGAGAGCATTTGAACAATATCAAAGCCCATTCTGCCAAATGTAGTCAGATACTGCTTACTCTCAGAGTGCCACTACGCACTCATACTCACGTATCTCGAAGTTTAGGTGAAACTGAGTACATCCAGACACTCAAGATTTCGACTCATCTCTATAGTATCATCGTAAGGAATGTCAACGACGGTTCTTTGACTAGGCCCGATCAGAGTTTATGTTCCCATAAACCCCAAGATGCAACTGCTGCATCTTTTACTCTCAGAAGCAAAACACACATCCCTCGCAAACCTGAAATGTTTGCCGTTGTGTAGTAACGAATAAAATGCAATGCTGTACTTCCTTGTCCTCACATAGACCGTCAGATTATGAGGAAGAGGAGATATTGGATGGATAGATTTATTCGTTGTAATAAACTTCTGGACTATCGAAAAAAACCCCTTGAAGTAAAGAAAAATATATATAATAAAATTTCAGTTGCCCAAATGCACATTTTTCGTATGAAAGGAAATTATAGAAATTGACTTCATTTCCTACTCTCATTCCTGTTTACTTACTACGACGCCTTCTTTGAAGTTAGAGATCCCTTATATAATGCAATCTATTTTTGAATAATAGATATTAACGAAATTATATGTACATTATTTTCAAAATATTATACTTTTTTGTTAATTTGGAGAAATATTTTGGCAACATTAAAATTCCGAACCTGTACGTGTATTTTTCGATCCATTTGTGCATTGGGTTCTCTCCGCGCTATTGGGAGAGCGCTGTTTCGAAATGTATTTGGCAAACAAATCGAGCTACTAAATTCACATTACGTATTGTCTAGCTACCTGCAGTGGTGTTCGCCACCGCCGCCGCTTCATGTTCTTATAAACTACAACTTCTATTTACGTCTAAAATACGCATCCGACAGCGTTAATAGCGACTCATCATTCGATGCACATGAATACCCTGAATCCAATGTCATGACAGCTTCATTTAATCTTTTGAAATAAAAGACTAAAGATACATATTTTTCGCCCTTCCTCTGGTTCGGAGCTTTTGAAGTTATAGCTGAAGAGGTAGTAAGATGGAAATTGCAGCATCATAATATTACTTACCCAAGTCAATATTACCAAAAAGTATGCCCTGCGTAGCACCAATAGTTTTTTAAATGAAATCTATTCTTCATAAGTACATCTTTAAATCATGTCTGTTTTTTGTTGTTGGAAATTTAAGTAGTTTTCGTGTAATTTCCAGTAAAGTTTAAACAATTTAAAAACTTTTAAACAGAAACAAGATATCCATTTTTTTGCTTGAATAGAAGAATAATATTCATTTAATAAAATGTCATAGCTTCGATTTCATTAAAACCTCCGAATTTTCGAAAATTTTGAAAAGTTAAACTTTATTTTTGAAGTGTCTGGAACGTTAGTTAGGCTTTATTTTAGGGTTATAATATGGTTTTGAATTCCTTTAAAAGTGAACATTTATAATATTTTTTATCGAATGAGTAACTTCTGGACGTCGGAAAAAAATACAAAATTTTAAAGTGCAAAAAGGATGGAATGAAAAAAAATTAAATTTTAATTTGTTGCAAAACGTTTAAGCTTTTTATTCCCTTTCAATAAGAATCTACTGTAAATGCTGATTTGTATTAATGCTAATTATTCGATCGTTAATCTTGTGTTGCGATAGCTCTATGCGCTACTTCCTCTTTTCCTGGACTTATTTTTTTTCTCACCTTCGTTCTCTCTTCTTCATTATTATTATTATTATTATTATTATTATTATTATTATTATTACGTTGAGATGAACGTCCAAAACTATTATTATTTTCTGCGTAATTTTTTGATATTCTTTCTTGTTCCGCCGCGTGCTTACAAATTTGCGATTTAATTTACCGCTTTGTTGGGAATCGAACGTACCAACCTTAAGAATATACGAAGTTCATGTTCAGTGTCGTAATGAAGACACTAAGAGAGTTTTTAGTTGTAATATGATATTCGAAATTAGTGTAAATAGTCCTTAATTATTCATTTTTCCAAATATATTTTAAATATCTGTAATTCATCTTGATATTATTTTTGTTATCTTGGTAGCACGTGCGTAAATACGTAACATGTGAACAACGAACACCACCTGTCCTGTTACCACCTGTGTGTTAACTGACGTCATTAGACGGTTAGTGTAAGTTGAACGTGTGGGACGGAAGTTAATAAATTTTCTTTTGGTTTCGTTAAAGTGCACGTGTGTGGAATGTAAAGTGTTGAAGAGTATATATTGAAATTTTTGGCTGTATGACAACTTTAGTTTCATTACATTGTTTTTAATTCTTTAAAATACTTGTGTTCGCTATGTTTGAGAGCATTGTGAACAATATCAAAGCCCATTCTGCCAAAGTATCAGAGTCTCTTACTCTAGATTCACTACGCACTCATACTCAACGTATCTCGGAAAGTTTAGGTGAACTGAGACACCAGACATCAAAGATTTCGGACAATATAGTATCATCGTTAAGGAGGTCAACGAGTTCTTTGTTAGTGAATCAAGATGTCCCAACCCAAGATGCTGCTGCATCTTCTACTCTCGAGCAAAACAAATGCAACCTGAAATGGCCTGTGTTAGTAGACAATAAAATGCAATGGGTTACTCTTCCTCACATAGAGTCAGATTATGAGGAAGAGGAAGATATTGTTGATAGATTTATTCGTGTAATAACTTTGGACTATGAAAAAACCCCTGAAGTAAGAAAAATATATATAATAAAATTTCAGTTGCCCAAATGACATTTTTCGTATGAAAGGAAATTTATAAATTGATTCTTTCTACTCTCATTCCTGTTTACTTTCTATGTTACAGCGCCGCAATGATAGAGAGGAGATCCGTCGTCGACTGGCCATGGGCTCAGATGCAGATGAATATTATGGAGGTGAGCGGCCAGGAAGAAAGCCAAGTTTGCAAGCTAGACTTCAGAGTGGTACGTTTATTCAACAATACTTTAATTTCAATATTCTAATTCAATTAATAACTTATTTGAAATTCTCTTCCATGTCTGTGGTGCATTCCTGTTTTAGGGATGAACCTACAAATCTGCTTTATGAATGAAACAGTGTCAGATCCTGAGTCTCCAAGCTCAGACACAGAATCAAGTTCATCTCCAGCCAAATCCAGCCCAGAGAAAATGGCTGTTCCTCGTAGCCATACTCTTCCAATAAAGGTAATTTATGTTGATCAGAATATAACAAAATAAAAAGACACTTGTAAAATGGTCTAAATTGTAAGATGGTCTTTTTTAATTCAAACAACCAACATTTTAATTGATATGCAATAAACTTACCAGTGAAAGTTTTGATTTACTATCTGTATTTATTGTGCAGAGAAAGTGAAGTAAGTGCTTATTCTTTTTTTAAATTTTCTTTTTAACTTGGTTATTGGCAGACCCATATGAAAATTACTAGCGTTGCTCTGAATTGTTGTTATGCCACTAGTTGGGAAACATCCATCTACTTGGAGTAAAAACACAAGTGGCATTCTGTTAAAATGGAAGACATTGTAATTGTTTTAACTGAGTAAAAATTTTCAGAAGTTAAAGGGTCATGGCAGAGTAGTTATTAGGGTATCTTCGCTAACCTGAGTGGCCTAGGTTCAAACCCCTGTGTAGCCGGGGATTTTTATCTGATCATACACTATTCAGGGCATTCCTGACTTCCACCTAGCCTCCTTTCCAAATGAGTACCAATATTTACTAGCTTTATTAACTCTAATTAGTTGTGGCTAATTAGTATATTTGTATTAATATTCTAACAAATACAAATTTATATCAGTACTACTTAAACTTTTGACAATAGAATTTTGATATCATTGTTTCTGAATTGACCTATTTAAATGAATAAATTGTGATCCATAATTTAATGAGTCAAATGGCCTATACAATCATCTTATCATCCTATTGTATCTTTTATATTTATAAACTTTCTAGAATTTCTCAGAAATAATTTTTATTGATAATTCAATAAAGAAATACATCAAATTATTGTATCTTTTGAAAAGTATTGCCATTGCATCTACGAAAAACAGGCAATGTGCACTTGTTAAGAATCTGATTTATAGACTTTCGGAAGCAAAAAACTTCTTAGAATTGTAAATTAATTGTTCATATTATTATTATTATTATTATTATTATTATTTATTATTATTATTACTACGTTATTCATACCTCAGTTGTAAGAAATATACTGGTGTAATTACATGCACCATAATGAGAAATATAATTTTTGGGGAGTGTTTTATTTTTATCCTGTAAAATGACATTTACTTCAGATGGTTTGTTTTTTGCAGGACCAACAATGTTTCAATTTTTTTTAAATTTTAAGCCATTGCTGTAATATGCTTTTAAAAAACATTGTGTTTAGTCAAATTTGTTGTGTTTTTTCCGTATTATTGTGAATTACTACCATTTCTGTTGCACAGCAGCCTCTACCTGCAGCTCCAGTTGCTACAGCAACACGACCATCCACATCGCTCTTGTCTCTTCCACTCAGAAGGGAACCTGACCCTGCTCCCCCTATGACTGAAGCAGACTTCTTTGCCAGGCAAGCTCAGTTGCAGGCCGAGGCTCGGTTAGCCCTGGCGCAAGCCAAAGAAATGGCTCACATGCAGATGGAAGTAGAAAGGCAACGCCAGAAGAAGAGCCCTATCACAGAGATGGTTCGATCAAGTTTGGAGAAGGTCAGAATGCATACAGTTCTAAGCAAGAGTCAATTGTAGAATAATTGGTTTCTTTGTAGTGGACAAAGTGTTCGGGATGTCTGTAGGTGTTTGATTGTGAGAACTTGCTTGTATAGAAGCTTTTAAGATGAGTATCACTTAACATGTGGTATCTTCAAAAGCCAATGTCATAAATGAGTACAGTTACTACTTTTTTACCAGTTAATGTACTTTATCGAAGTACATTCTTTGGAGGGGAAAAAATGGGTTATTCTAGGGGAGATCTGGTTATATCCAGTGTGCTGTTCACTTGTCTGCCAATGCAATGTTGTAAGTCAGAGAGCCGTTCTTACTTTTACAGTCTTGCTACCATTAATATGAAATCAAACTGGTGGCATTTAAGAAAAAGGTTGTCTTGCAGAGTAGCGCATCATGATAATGAGGCCATGTCACAGAATATTTTTAAGGCAAGATTGTAAAAAGCTTTATTGAGATCTTCTTGGCCAGGGTTCAAAGTTATAAAAGAGTTGCACCTAGGAAATATTTCAAAATTACTGTTAATGATGATGTCAGAGAACAAATGCCTTGTGCTGTGCTCATAGTTAACTCCAGCTAACATCCCCAAAAACCACAAGCGAAAAATCTTTATTTTATCTTGTCTTTAAAAAATTTACAGTAGTAAAAACAGTTGAAATCTTAGATTAAATTTTATAAAAACTTCAAGTAATTTGATACTAATAAACAACTTTTTTAAATGTTAATTTAATGATGAGTGTCCTGTAAGAAATATGTATTTTGCAGGTGGGTATACCATTTCCAGAAGATCGTAGACGAGTAAGCAGACAACTTCTGACTGAAATGAATGTGGCTCAACTTCAAGTTATAGTAAATGATCTTCATACACAAATAGAAGGTTAGTTTTCCAACAACAGTGCCTTAATTCTAATAAGTATTCAGTTTGAATAAACGTTTTGTTGTTGCAGTGCTCAATGAAGGATTGGTAAAGTTCCTAATGGATCGTGATGATCTTCACATGGAACAGGACTCTATGTTAGTGGATATAGAAGATCTGACTCGATATTTGTAAGTAAGAAATATTTTATTACACTGTAAAATCTGTCTAAACCTGAACCTGAACCTGTGCAAGCCAGAAAATGTACCTTAACCAAAAAAAGTCCCTGGAAGTATATGGTATTTCACATAGCATAAAACGGAATCTGTCCAACACGGAAACGGAAGTCCTATCAGGGTGATCTTTTTAAAACAGAATTCCTTCAAATTTAAAGTGATTAATAGAATAGCGTGATCTTTGTTATCTAATGAATGCATGTGCAAGTCTATTTTGAATTCTCTATCCCACACGATTTAGTTGTGACAACCATATTGTGAAGGAGAGTCTTAGATTCAACCTTGGAGTTACTTGTCTCTCATGGCATAGCCCGTTAGGGAATTCCCTCCTGTCTGAGTGGGAAGGTGTATGAGAATGGCTTCTCTTCACAAGTCTCCCTGCCCCATGTTCAAAATTGTAATCCCTCAGCCGGAGACACAATGCTCAAGGCAATTTGTCTCATGGGAGAGTGTCAGAAAATTATAGTATTCTGGGCTGTGAAACAATGTGCATTGAAAGAGCAAGTAGTCAGATTTCTGCCATTAAAGCGTGAAGTGGTGTAAGTTCTTATGAGTTTATCAACCAGTTTAACAATGCAAAAACCATAAAACTGTAACCTTCTCCAGCATTAGAAAAAAAGGTCAAAGTTATGGAAGCACGAGAAACTCAGAAGCTGTCAATGATGAATGTTTAATATTCATTTGTGATTTCTTCCATAAATATATTATACAGTTTGGAAATTTATATTAATAATCGTAATAAAATCATGTAATTTTTACTTTACTTTAATTACTTCTTTACTTATATTAATTTACTAGTTTCAGAATGGAAATGTCAAGATCACAAGTGTTGTTAAATAGACAACCTAGCACAAAACTTCCCTAAACCTGAACTGGTTTTTTGTCCCAATTGATTCCGGCTTAGATTTTACTGTATTTGAATGCTTTTCCAGTGTTTCACCTCTAAAAAAACATCTCTCTTTCAGGGGGGCTAAAGAACAAACAGCTAAAGAACAAAAGGAAGTTAAACTAATAAACCAGAACAACAACCTGCTTACATCTGCAAAACCGAAGATAACAAGGATAGCCAACCTTGTCAAGAAATGAAAGATGTGAAGTGCTGGGAGTGGGCTGCCTTTGTGTAAGGACACTAAATGGCAATTCTACAGCAAGCAGCATCTTTTGTTTCATTCCTCTGTGGATTAGAAAGCATTTGTTGCTTTCTGTTTTAACCTAAAGCTAGTCCTGGCAACTGTATCCTTACAGTGTGCTGTCATCAGATCACTGTTTTAAGATGTCATTAAACAACTTTTCTTGTAAGTTTTGTCTAACTAGTACAGTAATATTTCCCAAACTATTGTTGCTCTCTCGTTAACTTCACTACTGTGACGCAACAAACCATGAAAGTTCCCCAATTGTAATAACTTTACTGTGTTATAACATTCCTATGTGGACAAGGATTATATCGTCTTCAGTGCACTTGTGATTGCAATAAGTAAAAATGTGAGCTTTGAGTGTTATGCAACATTTTCTCATACTGTACTTGTATGTCAGTTGGAAGGAAACAAGGTCTGTTGATGACTTTTGAAGTATTTAATTCACATGTATACCACTGAATGTCTAGAAATGGTTCTTGATGTTCAACTTTGATGGCTATAAAATACACTGAATCTTTTGTTGCAGAGTCTTATGGTAGCCGACAACTTACGTAAATATAATAAGGGATAAGAAAATGTGTGCGATTGTTTGTGTGTGTAATGAAAACTGGATGTGTTATGAAAGTTGCTTTAAGTTAGTGGTAGTATTATCTCTGCAACAAAAGACATTGAGGCATGATAAATTAAAAATCAAAATCACATTTTTTAGTAGCTGTACACTTGTTTCAAATATTTATTTTGTCTAGTATTTATTTCTAGACCGAATAAGACACAATTTAAGAATTGAATATATTGAATTGAATGTTCCGGGTTTGATTTGGTTTAGTAAGATTAATAGTCAACTTTTAAAGATTTTAAGTGTTCTGGCTTTCTGTATATAAAATGCAAATAAGCTGGAGCCATAAACTTGATGCATTTAGGTACATAGATGAGCATTTGAACTACCATTGTAATTTTAAGAATGGTCAGTGGACTTAATTATTTAAGTAAAACCTTCCTACTGTGCCAAAACTGTATCTCAAATTTAACTGTGACATTCTCATATCCTACACAAGTTACATCTCTGGCATTACTGAATTACAGTAGTTGGAGGTCAGTTATAGGCTTCAATATGCCCGTGAACTGAAACGAAAGATACCTAGTTTTCAGCATATTCCACCTACTCTCATCAGATATTCCCAGATATTGTGTAAAATTATTAGCTAGGTACTATATAAATGGAAACTTCACAACTTCTTTTACTGTTTAAAATATCAAACATCTTAGTAAAAAGAATACTTTTTGTAACGATGAAAATATTGCATGCATCATATGTAGTTACAAACATGTGGGAATTACTGTTGGGAGTTGATGGTGATTCTTAAAAGCACGTCATTGTGAGTTTATAAAATCACTTTAAATTTAACTCTAATTAACTTGAGTGTCTAGTAATTTTGTAGAGGGCTGATAGTTTGTGAGGGAAAAGGGCAATGGCATATCATGTAAGACTGTACAATTTCTTGTGCATTCAATATCAAAACACTTCAGAAATTTGTTATTAGTTGCTACTGCTAAAACATTATTTTGGAAGTGTATTATTGTAAAAGATAATTGACAATGTTTAATCTGACCTGACTGAGTCTTATGGAGTTATTCTCCAGTATTAAATGTGAATATTGTGCACAGTAGGGTTACTTTTAGGAATCTATAATGTGTTGATCCTAAATCTGTTACCTGTTGCTTCATTGCACTTAGAACAATGAACTAAATTCTAATTAGTGTGTCAGTTCTGCCTGGTCTCCTTAGATTAGGGACCAATGCCTATTCTTGTATTCAAACCCAGTTTCCCCCCAAAAGCAATGTGCAGCTTGACAAAACAATATTATTAATAAAAATAATTTTCATTCAGATTTGTCTTTCTTTTTTATTTGCTCCCTATGAAAATATGACCTATCTGGTAAGTCTTCATGTTCAAATCCCGTTGTGTGTGTGTTTTGTAGCAGCAAGTGCCACAATCAAGAAGAAGTTAATATAAAAATTCTTACTAAATTGTTGGAACTTCTGGAGAAAATATTACAATTTGTTATTACACTGTAAATTCTGAAGTATCAAATAGAGGTGTCAACATTTTATCTTCGTACTTTAAACTATAAAGGTTGGTAAACAATTGAGAAAGAGCTGATACAATTGCTTCAACAGAGATAAGAAAAAACATTTCTCCAATCCCCTCTACTCAGAGTTCCTGCATGTTTATCTAAGCAAAGAGAACGAATTACAACAGAAAACAATGTTAGCCGCAGCTAATCTGTAGGGTCATCACTCCCGAGCTCTTTGTACTGCATTCACAAGATAGGCATTATACCAACATAAAAAGGTGAATAGGAGACTGGCAACCAAAAATTGGCTCTTTTGTTGGATTTTATGAAACTACTTTCGTGTATTTGTTATACTACACCCTTCATGAATGTTTGAGGGAGAAAGAAGTTAGATACTCCCTTGTATGACGTAATACGTACGAGTACACTCCGATCGTAATGTTGGTTAACCTGAATGTAACAAAGGCGGAAGGCCAGCTGATTCAGTGCGGCTCACGAGTAACATCTCGTGATGCTGAAGTCAATGTAGTGAAGTATTTCTATCAGTAATGTGTTAGTTATATCGTTCTTTTGGAGTTTTGTTTTTGTTGCTGTTTCGTTAATTTATCAAAATTCACATGGCTAACGAGGAGTTCTCGGACAAAGAAAATATCATAGTACCAGAAGACGAAAGAGATGAAGAAACAGAACTGTCAGAATACAATGGTCATCCTTGTTGCAACCCCAGCCATGCCTTACATCGGTTTTTTGCGCTTATTTTTATGTGCCTTCTTGGCTTCGGTAAGTCGACAATAATATTACAGTTGTCCAAGTATGAAAGAAAACTAATCTATATTTAAAGAGGTTTGTTAACTTGGCAATTGAGCTATTCATTTTTCTAGTTTTTCAAATAGCCAGATTATAATCTGTAGTGATATGATATGATAAATGAGTATGGGTGATGCAAAGACAAACGCTCTATAAAATAAATAATTTTCATTTCAGGTTCCTATTTCTGTTATGATAACCCTGGAGCATTACAAGATAATTTTATTGAAGATATGAAATTGACTACCTCACAGTTTGTGTATTTGTATTCATGGTATTCATGGCCAAATGTTGTTCTTTGTTTTGTTGGCGGATTTTTAATTGACAGGTAGATATTATTTTGCGTTATTTTTTTTACTCCAACCATCATTTGTGCTAATACTGATTTTTTAAAGGGTTTTTGGAATTCGTCTGGGTACTGTTATATATGCCACTTTTGTTCTAATTGGCCAAATCATATTTGCTCTTGGAGGAGTTTTAGATGCATTTTGGCTCATGGTTGTTGGCCGATTTGTATTTGGGTAAGTTTAATTTTAATGAATTGATAAATATGATTTTAGTAGTGTGATTTTCATCTTGATTTTATTCTTTCAAAAACAGAATTGGTGGGGAATCATTAGCTGTTGCTCAGAACAGTTATGCTGTATTATGGTTCAAAGGCAAAGAATTGAATATGGTATTTGGACTTCAACTGAGTTTTGCAAGAGTTGGATCTACTGTAAATTTTGTTGTTATGGAACATTTGTACAAATTGGTTAACAAAACTTATCAGGGCTATATGTGTACTGGTGTTGTGCTGTTCATTGGTATGTTACTATTCATGTTTTGTCAGCCTCTTACATGAATTAAAATCATTATTCATAATTATGTGCTAGAAGTAAAGCATATTTGTCTGTGATATACTTACTAAAAGTGGAAATAGAGTACTTTTTTCATCTATATTTCTCACTATGTATTTTTGTAATATTTGTTAGCTGCAACAACATGTGTAATGTCTCTTATCTGTGGAATTATTTTGGGAGTCATGGATAGAAGAGCAGAACGAATTTTGAAAAGAAAGACATCTGAGGAAGGTGAAGTAGTACATATCACAGACGTTAAGGATTTTCCAGCGATATTTTGGATGGTATCTATTGTTTGTGTGGCATACTATGTAGCAATCTTCCCATTCATTGCTTTGGGAAAGTAAGTATTCAGATATTTAGTTGATATTTTGTGTGACAAATATGTTTATTAAAAATATTCTGAAGTCAAGTTAATGGGGCTTGGTCAAGGAAAGCAAAATGAAATTAAAACATGGTTGTTGGCCAACATTTCAGAAAATGTATTTCCATCCTCGGCTGTACAAATTATTAAGGCACCTCCTGGGAAGTGAGGCACAGACATACATCACCACACCAACACTCACCTAGACCTCTAATGGTAGAATGTTGGGCGATGAGAAGATAATCATTTACTACGATTAAGTGGAGGTAAAACTAGCTTCCGGTAAGGGACCATACTTAATTAAACATGATATGTACTTGCTTAATGAAGTATAGTTATCACATGATTATTGATCTGTTATTTATTAATTTCTCTTTTTATTTTCCCCTTTCTCATTTAATAAATATTTAAATAATAAATAAATAACTGATCAATTCTCATGTAATAACTTGACTAACCAAGTATATATTATGTTTAATTAACTGTGGACCCCTACTGGCAGCTAGTTTTGCCTCAGTCATAGTAAATAATACTCTTCTCACCCCCCAACATTCCAGTAGTCATAGTGTGTGTTGGTGTGGTGGTGATGTATGTATGTGCCTAAAATTATGTATATACTGTTGGTGATTGAAAGATATGTAACTCTGGCAAAAAAAATATTTTTTAAAAACGTTTTCATTTGTATCTAGGTTGTGAATTGTATCTGACATGTTTTTTGGTAGCTTTATATGATAGCAGTCTCTTCTTTCTCATTTTGCATAGCCCTGAGAACCAAAATTCATTTTCCGAAACTTTGGCAAGCAACCAGGTTTTAATTTTATTTTGTTCCTACTGAACAAGCCCTGTTAACCTGACTTGAGCATATTATTTATGGTGGTTAAGAACTTCATATATTAAAAATATTTAAAACATTAAAATCAATTACTATGTAATTAATTTTATTTTTGCAGGGTGTTTTTTGAAAGAAAATTTGGTTTCTCTCCTGAAAATGCCAATACTGTAAATAGTATTGTTTACATTATCTCTGCAGTGGCATCTCCACTTCTTGGATTTGTTGTTGATAGAGTTGGCAAAAATGTGTTTTGGGTGTTCCTCTCTGTACTGGTGTCTGTTGGTTGCCACGCTCTGTTGGCGTTCACATTTCTCAACCCCTACATTGCCATGGTACATTGCTAAGAGCAAGTTTTAATGTTTATAGTTAATTCTGTGTGTAGTTGTTTATTTATTATAATTTGTTTGATTTTCAGTGTATCTTGGGAATTGCATATTCCATGCTTGCTAGTGCTTTATGGCCAATGGTGGCACTCATAATTCCAGAATATCAGTTGGGTACTGCATATGGAATGTAAGTGGCTGACCCCCTCTTAGTTATTATCCACAGTTCAGTTTAACTAAGCAGTATATCTTTAATAAGTCAATACTTTTTTCAGTTTCATTGTTGTTGTTGTTTTGTTTTTTTTAATATGGTTGTAGCAGTAAAGACAAGAATGATTGTTAATTATAATAGTTGAAAGCATCCTTTTAATGAAAGACTGACAGTTTTATTTTATTTTAAAAATGGGAAATAAATAGTCGCAATTGTCATCTGACAGGAATTTAAGGTGTTTTTTTTTTTGTCGGTTTTAATGTCAGTGAACATGTTAACTTCCATTATCTCTGAATTCAGTTGATTATGTGAGACTGGAATGAATACGAATGTAAAAATGTCATATACCAAAATATGGTAAGGGAAATAATCTCCACAAATGTTTTAATAATTTTTACTAATAATTTTCCATAGTCCCCCCCCCTTTTCCCTGTATTGGTAGGCTTCCTCTTCTCCCATTCCAAAAAATGGCTGCCACCTAGGTGTAACTAGCATGTTTTGCCGTTTTCACATTTTTTGACCATGTTGTGAACATTCATGGGAGATGCACATTACTTGGGCAGTATGTACTTTCCATTTGTATTTATATGATATTATTTGTTTGTTTTTCCACTAAATTCACTGTACATCCCCCCTTTTTGTGTTCAATTTGTGTTAATGTTTTCATTTCTCCATTTTGCTAGAGATCCACTGAGGATGGGAAAAGTATTTTCCCAAAAGTTAACTCTGGAAAAATTATTAAAACTTATGTGGAGATTATTTCCTTCACCATATTATGGATTACCACAAGATATCTGCTACCACCACAGTGTATACCAAAAATTTAAGTTATTGAAGAAATAATAAAATGTTGCAAATGCTGTAGAAGAACATGGAAGAATACATACAAAAGTATAAAAGGAAATGGTGAAACAGTAAAGAGATATTTTGAACATATGAGAAAGCAAACTATTATGAGAATTCATAACTTTACATCTAAAGCAGTGTTACAGTACTGTGCAAAAATGTTGGTAATGGGGGTAAAGGAAATCAGTAATGTGGAAGTAGCTTAAGTTTTTATGGACAGTTTTGGGAATAAGAAAAAGAATTGAAATATTGGTATTAATAAGATGATGTGTGTGACTGAAGTAAAAGTGAAATGTAAAAATTAGAAAAGCAGAAAACTTAGCAGAAGAAATAAGATTGCTGGAAGAAATGGAGAGAACATGAACAGAATAGACAAACAACTAATTGCTTCAAATTATAGACTAGAAGGCAAGAGGGGACAAAGGAAGACTGACAAGATGATGAGGAGGGTCACTTCAACACATGAAGGAATTGTGTATCCATTTCCCACTAATAGGACAGGAAAACCATCCCTAAAGCAAGGGTGTTGATGATGATAAAGATGATGACGACATAAAAATGTTGAAGTTAAAATTAAAAGCTAATTATACAGGAATATTACTTAGCGAAATTTATCAATCTTATGGTCCAAGTACATTAATGAAACCCAGAAAGTGTAACAAATATAAAAAGGAGTCTTTATTTCTAATGTTCAATTTTATTTTAAAGTTAACTACTAGTTAGACATATCTAGAAGAAATGGAAAAGAACATAACAGAATAGACAAAACAACTATTGCCTCCAAATTATAGACTAGAAGGCAGAGGGGACAAAGGAAACTGACAAGATGATGAGGAGGTCACTTACAACACGATGAAGGAATTGTGTATCTCATTTCCCCACTAATAGGGTACAGCGAAAACCATGTCCTAAAGCAAGGGTGTTGAATGATGATGAAAGATGTGACGACATAAAAATGTTGAAGTTAAAATTAAAAGCCTATTATAGCAGGAGTTTTACTACCAAATTTTATCAACTATTGCAAGACATTATGATAACACAGACGAGAATACAAAATAAGATTCTTTTATTTTAATGTTCAATTTTTAGTTAAATACTAGTTAGTAATTTTATTTTGTGTATTCACTCTCATTTTAACTTCATAGTTTTAGTATTATTGATTTCTAGTTCATACGAATGGATAACATTATTACCTTCAGTAAATATCTGAATAACAAAAACTTAAAAAGAATATATCCTTCTTCAAAATAAAACAAAACTGATTTTCTTGAATTAAAAGAATACCTTCCACGATTCATCATTCTCTTTTTGCTTTGGAAAAAAATTGAGATTCAGATAAATCAAACATTATGTATAAAGATAATTTTTGCTTCATCTGTATCTGTTTTGCTGTTGAGTTTTTGGAGGAAAAAAATTGGAAGGTTGATTGGAACTATGATTTTTTATTCCATAATGTACTTTACACTCTTCATGTGAAAAGAGCAAAACATTGATTTTGATATTAGAAAAAATTTACTTTAGTGTTGTAATCATAACAGTTAACTTTGTATTAGTCTTCATTGTTTATCTTGTATCAAAGATACTCATTTGTTTTTCACTGCTGATGGCATTTCAGTGCTGTCAGTTATACAGCAAATTTAAATAATTAATTAAAAAATTAAGTAAGGTGTAAAGAGAAATTAGTTGTTTTTTTTTTTTGTTTCCTTTGAAAGTATTATATTAGAAGGATGTGTACTAACTAGCATGGCGTTACATCGTGGGTTTTAGTTCTATTATTGTGTTAAACTAAGGTTGATGATCCCAAGACTTGGTCTAAATGGATTCCACTGTATGTTTTTTGTTAGTTTGTTAATTCATGTACACAGTCGGTTCCTTTTGTGCCATTGAGTGTTTTGTTATTAGTATTGTAAATGGAAGTTGCCTTCTTTCTTTCACAGTGCACAGTCAGTTCAAAACCTAGGGCTAGCTGTTATTTCCCTTGTGTGTGGAAAAATTGTTGATTCCAGTGGGTATTTGCTACTTGAAGTTTTCTTCCTTGCATGTCTTTGTGGTAGGTATATACAAGCAAGTATTGAAAATAGTAATTGTGCTGTTTAGACTGTCTCTGTTAAATTGCATTTCAATATTTTACAGTTGCTCTTATTACTACTGTGGTGATCTGGATATTAGATTCAAATACATCAGGATTATTAAATATGACTCCATCACAAAGAGAAATATATGAGAGAAATAGATTGTAAGTCTATAAGTCTGATTCTTGTAAATGTACTATGCTAGTAAAATGATTGTGTAAATACTACATCTTCCAATTTGTTTCTGTTCTCAAGATTGTGCTTTCTTGTTATCAGGGCTGCCGAAATGCTTGAAAGGGAGAAACTAATGGCTTCAGGCTCAATGTCTGACATAACCCCTCATGATTTATTGCAACCACAATCTGATTTCCACATTAGAAACAGATATCTTTCACGTATTGGAGCTACTGTAAGTCATGTTTTTATAGTATTTGCCCTTAGGAATTATTTAAAAAAGTAGTAATTTTTTTCTTTCTCTCTCTAGCTGCCCTCACACTACAACGTTAATGCCAAAGGTCTTGCATATCGTGCTTTAAGATAGAAAGTTGATTAATAGTGCCAACTTCCACATCCCTGCAATACAGTTCGATTGATGAACGCAAATGGTTCATAGAAATTGAAAATAATTAATTGGTTGGAACTGTAGAACTGGACATTCAGCGATAATATGCTTTATATGTGAATTTCAGAGGTACCAATCAGCTGACAATATTAATAATACCTCTGGTTATGTTTGAGAGATGAGAGAAGTCCATTTTGTGGCACACTTCCAGTAACCTGTGATATCTTCAACATAAGTTGGTGAATCTTATTTTCTATCATCAGTGAAAGCAATAACTATATTTTCTTTATTTATTGATGTATCAGAGACATTACATCCAAGATGATAAGTATTTCAACAGATTTTATAATTTGGTGTGTAGCTTTGGTACCGAGTTGCACTTGTATATATTGTAGTTTACTTGTGCACAAATATTTGAAAATATGAACGTGTAAAAGAAAGTTAAGTATTACAATTAATAACTTGTTATTTATTTTATTGGAGTTAAGGTCCAGTATTGTGCCTGTGATGTCTGATACTGAGTTTCAGTGAAATGTGACTTTTTGTGTTTATAATTGAATGAATGCTAGTATGGAGTTCAATGTACATTATTTAGTGCTTGCTTACAATGGTCATTTGAATATAAACTGATAATTCTGAAAATGTAAAGTGGATTTGTGGACTTATGATAAAAATATACTGCTCTCTTTTGCTTGCTGTGGTTGTACACAAATGCACTTAAGTGTGAGGTGATTGCAATTACTCTTGTACTTACAATTGTTATTGGCCATGTGCACTTTTATAACCATTATCTATGGTGAGTATAGTTTATTTTCCAGAGAGGTATCAAAAAGCAAGGAATTGAAGCATCATGTTGCTTGTGAATTATTAAACAATTTTCAATAAAAACAAATTTAATGTACATTTTTTGTGGAGAGAAATATTCCAGTAAATGATGTAGTGTGGTATACATATGTCTTTACAACAAAGGTGGGTTAGTGGATGGATTTTTACTGATGCCCAGTTTTACTGTGTATGAATTTTTATTTTTAACAAAGTTGTAGTGCATTGTCTGCAATTTTATTAAGGAATCGTTAATGATTTTAGTGACACTTTACAATTTTACAGAAAATGCATATCAAATATAAAAGGAATTTCTCAAAATAAAATATGTTTGAAAATATATAACTTGAATGAAGCCCCATTTTTTATTCTTGCCTATTCCTGTAAAAAGATTTATTCTGCTCCTATGATCCAGTCAATATCATTGATTGGTGAGAACCCTGGTGGCGAAGGGCTTAACTACTCCAGCTTGATGGCTGCCATGTTGGCTGTTTCTTGGCACTGCTGCACTCTATATTCAGTGACTGTTCGCGTAAAACGGCAATAGAATGTGAGAGGAGAATAGGAGGAAAGAGATGAATGCGAATGAATGGTACAAAATGAGTGTGGACAGGAAACGTTGAAGGTGGTGGCATGGAGGTTATGGCAGTGAAAGATGTGTAATAGTTGTATTGTTTTGATTCCTTCTCTATCTCTCTTCGTAACAGTAAGGTCAAGAGGAAAGTTTTTTGTACAATCTTTTACCGGTCTAAATGTATGTTAATATTACGTACGTAGTAGACATTTGCTCTAGTGTTTACATCTAGGTCGTATTTACGACAGTATAGTGTTATCCACGTGCTTGAGGAGCGTGCGAACGTGCTTCAGAAATGGATTCGAAGTACAGTGCATTTACATTCAAAGTTCCCAACAAGATACAAAAACCGAACCACGTTAATTTTAATGGAAATGGCATTAAACGTCCGAGATTGGATGATCAACAAACCAAATTGTGCACTAACGGTAGTGTACCAGCCAAACAAAGAAAACTACTGCCAGTTTATAATGTGCGGCATAGGTAATTATGGTTCGTTTGTTGTGTTGAAAGTGATAAATATTGATAACGGTGTATCACACTTGCGAACTGTTTTCAGGTTAATCGCAGAAATTCAAAAGACGCCTACTGTAATAATTATAGGAGAGACAGGGAGTGGAAAAACTACTCAAATTCCCCAGTTTATGCATGAAGTGAATATGGAAAAAAGTGGTATAATCGGCATAACTCAGGTATTCATGGGTTACTATTTTTCATTTCAATTTGCATGTTGAATTGTGGTTACAAAACTTTTATTATTTTGTAGCCTCGTAGAGTGGCAGCTATCACACTTTCTTCAAGAGTGGCTGAAGAAATGGATTGCAAACAAGGAGAATTAGTGGGTTACACTGTACGTTTTGAAGATGTAACTTCAAGTCATACAAAATTGAAATATTTGACAGATGGAATGTTGCTAAGAGAAGCAATGTTAGGTAATTGATTCTTGCCTGCTTTGTTTCTATTGTTTTTTTTATTTTGAGTTCATTTAATTGAAGGGGGATTATAATTTCAGATAATCTGTTAATGGCATACAGTATTATTGTATTAGATGAAGCTCATGAAAGGACAGTTCACACAGATGTTTTATTCGGTATTGTGAAACAAGCCCAGGCTGTTCGGAGAATGAAAAAGTTGGCACCTTTGAAGGTATAAAAGATGAATTATTGTCTTATTATTCAGAATTATTTTTCTTATTGCAATTAATCATTCACATTTTTTCCTTGAAGATCATAGTTATGTCAGCCACAATGGATGTTGATCACTTCAGCAATTACTTTAATCATGCCCCAGTTGTATACTTAGGAGGAAGACAATATCCTGTGAAAGTATTGCATGCTAAACATAATCAAGAAGATTATGTTTTTAGCAGCCTTGTTACCATCTTCCAGATTCATAAGGAAGCACCTCCAAAGTAAGTAGCTGTTTTTGAAATTAGATGTGGTTGTATGGAATTTTATTTTCTCTTTGTGCATATTTATAATGCCTGAATTGTTTTTATTTATATCTACAAAACAGTGTATATTTCATTGAATTTGCACCCATTACCATATTAAAGAGCTTTTACAGCTAAGTTTACGCCTTTCTATGCATTTCCATGTTGGAGATGACAGCTCAAGCTAGCCATTGCGATTATCATAAAACATCCTTGTGCGATTACCATCTATATTTTGTGTGATAAGTATGAAAACTCACCTCGTAAGTTCATTGTGTAAATGTGAATATCGTTCATTCATTTCTGGTAAGCTCTAATTTTGTCACTGTGAACATTCAATTACATCCATCTTATTCAATCATTGCATTTCACTATAATTTACCTATATAAATTTTTTCATAATGCTACACAGTGAACAACACTTTTATTCTTTATTTTGTATATTTATTGTAAATATTTTTATGTCAAGATAAACTGTTTAAAAGTGGAACAACAGCATATCGTTTTAAACTTAAGAGACTTGAGATTGTAGTATTCAAACTTTTGGGAAAGGGGGCAAAGTTATTTTAATATATTGATTATAATTATCCTAAAGATTGAAGGATTTTGTATAGTTTAACTTTATTTTTCAGTCATGATATTCTGGTATTTCTTACTGGTCAGGAAGAAATAGAAGCCATGGCAAACAGCATCCGCCAGATTGCTCTAGTATGTAATTGTTTTATTTCTTATAAATAGAATAGATCTCTATATAAATAGTATAAGATACAATTTCGTACAAATTGTATTATTTCTTAAAAATTTCAAGTTTTGGTACACTTAAAATTCCATGAAATATGAAATTTATGGAAAAGTTACATGACTTGTTTAGTCAGTTACAGAGTTATGGCTATTTTTCACTTGATAATCAGTTTAAATTAGTATTTTGGGGGAAAATGTATGTGGATGAATTTAAGAATTTTGAGTAATATAATTATGTAATTAAAAACTTGCATTGATTTAAAGAATTATTTTGCTTTGTGGTGCAAACATTAGTGGAGACAAATTTATTTCAGGCTTGGAGAAAGTATGGGAGATTAGAAAAGTTAGGAAAGTCAAAGGCATCAAAGCCCTGTAGGGTTCTTTTTTTATTTTATTTATTTATTTTTACAAGGCTTCCAAAATAATTTTATTTTTCCCATAGGAACTTGATGGGAAAGCTCCACAATTGAAAGTGTATCCTCTGTACTCATCTTTACCATCCCAGCAGCAGTTGGATGTTTTTCGTCCTACCCCTGTAGGAATGAGAAAAGTCATTCTCAGTACAAATGTAGCTGAAACTTCCGTTACAATTAGTGGGATAAAGTATGTTATTGATAGTGGAATGGTGAAAGCAAGGTGAGTAGTCAATTTTGTTTAGGTACCTAGAAATAATTTGTCTAGGGGGTGGATTTTGATGACCTAAAACATCACCAAAAATTATCAATAAATACTCTTAAAAGGCTTGTAAAATGCCCTAAAAGCAAATGATGTAAAAAGTTAGAATAAAACCAGTTCAGGTGAAAAGCTCATGGTAAGTGACTGACATAATGAGGCTTCTTCCTTTGTTCAAGTGAACTTGGCTTGCAAACTTTTGGTTTGAAATGTTCTTTACCAGGGTATTTCTTTCTTAAATTATCATGAAATTGGACAAACCAACAATTGTGCTGATAGGTGTCTCGGAAGCTTAATTGCATACTCACAACATCTGAAGTTATAATTTCTGATAAAGAAATCGAATAGGCTATTTAGAAATTCTGGGGAGAACAGTTGTTTCCTTGTGTAAATACCATTAAAATTAAAATAAAATCGATGAATTTAGCGAATAATGGCATAAAAAGTACAGGAAAGATAAAAAATGACTTACTACCAGAAATCCAAGAAAAATTTTAAAAACTTGAATCAAAATGGGTAATTTCGTTTTGTCATAATGTAAAAGTAAAGTCTATATTAGAAGGTGTAGTTCTAAAGTGAAAAGAAAAATTGGCATTGCATTAAAATTTGGCCCCTAGTTATGTGTATCAAAAAATTTATACTTTGTACTTTCATTATGTTTTACTGTACACTTACCATTACTGTAGATTATTTTCATTACAGTTTCTTGCATGTTAGATTTGATCTAACAGCCGTTAATGTTGTATTTAGTATTTTATTATGGGTAAAATTCAAGCGTGAAACTTCCAATAGAGTTGATGTAGAAATACAGGATTACGTAAAGATGACTTGCCAACTCAACATTTTTGTTTATAATAGCGTGATTTGTGTAAAAAATAAAAATCAACCAAAGCCATGCAGAATATGTTCATGAACTATGATAATCTTCCTCAGAAGTTTGTTTATTGCATGTGCTTACACTATTTCCTGTGATTTCTTTTTATTTTAAGTTGTTTAATTAAATATTAAACAGATCGGTAAAATCGAATATGTGAATCAGGTTGCAGTAAGGAGGACATACCATGAAAATTGGTATTACTATTTATGAGAATTTACAAAAGCACAATGGAACAATGAAATGAACAGTGCTACTCCTAAACCAAGTGCTTTGCATAATAGCTTGACAAAACTGTCTGGATGCACATTTCAATTGTCTCTTAAAATCAAATTCAATACAGTGCTGCCAAATATTGATGCAAGTCTCACACTATCGTTCCAATACTCACACTACACTAAGCCAAAATTATTAACCTCATAGCCAAATTAATGAATTTATCTTCAAAAATCTACCCTACATTAAGTAATTATTAACAGAAAATAACCAAGTGACCTGATTTTATGATTATCACTCTGACATTTTCTTGTGAAGTGGTATTTTCATATCATTTGAGTTTCAGGGGATGAAATAATTAGTAATTTCCATTAAGAAATGTGGCTAATTTTTAAGTATATTTGTGGTAATTTCTTGTATGTTAACATGAAGCTACGGTTTGCAAAATTGTGGAAATGCTGTGATATCTTATTTAAATGTAAGCAACCAAGAGTTGCATATTATTATTCTTAAGGTTAAAAATACTTGATTCAGATGACTGTTAAGTAATTTTGGTCGTTTGATTTTGAAAATACATTCATAAAGAATATATACATGCATATGAAATATGTGATAGAAAATGTTTTCCTTATCCAGATCACATCACCCAGGAACAGGGTTGGACATGTTAAAAGTTCAGAAAATTTCCCAAGCGCAGGCTTGGCAGCGAACAGGCAGAGCAGGGAGAGAATCTTCTGGATTTTGTTACCGTGTTTATACTAAACAGGTATGTCAAAAAGAGGTTATGTATTTTTGTTCCAAATCTACATGAATTATCACAATTATTCAAAACACTCATCACTTGCTTTTCTATTTCAGGAATTTGATTCTCTTCTTAAAAACTCCATACCTGAAATTCAAAGATGCAATTTAACTAGTGTTGTACTGCAGTTACTAGCACTTGGAATAAACACAATAGAATTTGATTTCATTGATAAACCACCTAGAGAGGTAATAGTTCACAATTATTGGGATATTTAATTAGTGAGTTTTAATTAGTTATTTTACTATGAAATCTGTTTTAAGTGACCACTATTGGTTCCATGGAAAACTTATCTTTTACTAGGGTGTTTGGATAATAGGGAATTGTTTTTAACAAAAAATGGATTATTGTTACTAGATATTGGAAGTTTAGGAAAGTTCCTACTTTATTCTGAGAAATATATTACTAGATATATCTAATATATGTACATGAATTATGAAAATATGCCATGGTTCGTCCTTAGAGAAGCGGGAAGTACGGAAGGGGAGTCTCCATAAGCCTTACTTCATAATAAAATCATTAAGAAAACTTACAGATAGACAACTTTCACGTATCGTAAAAGTTTGGTGATGTCCTCAAGGAACGACAAAAATCTTTCTGTTGACCCAGTCCACACAGAACACACTCATGTATGAGAAGTGTCCCCTTTCTTACTGCACTCCTGTTGCTTGTCTAACCTCTTCGGACATTTACACACCTTACATGTAAATCCTGCAGCAATCAAACCATGTTCTTTTGCCCACTCAATTACAGTCAAATATCCCTTCCAGCACAACATTTAAAAAAATCAATATTTATTAACACCCTTGTAGCACAAACACTAGACACTTAAAAACATAATTCCCAAAGACGTAGAAGAGTACAAGAAACGTAACGGTACAATAATGTAGCTAACCACTTCGACAGCTACCCCAACACACACAATCTCAGGAGCCCACCACCATGATAACAGCTCTATTTCATAATCAAACCCTGACAGGATACTAAGGTGAAATTGCCTACGTAACGTATGACAACACAAGTGTGACCAATTACCGAGTATTAAAATATATTGAGTAGTGCAATTTTTACAATTTATTTAGGTTGCCCACACTTTGCTTTTTATAAGTATGTACTAAGTACACCTATTTATGTTCCTATGTACTTTCTATGACGGAGGAGACCAAAAAATTGCATGTGTGTGTGCATCGCGCACACACAATCGTAACCACTTCCACCCCAACCACTACCATTAGCACCCCTATTTCTACCACATACTACTACTATCACAAACAAGAACAAGTGATGGGTCTGGGCACTGATTCCAGATGCAATCCCAACACTTGCATTTTGGAGTGTCATCACATTAGAAGAAATGAAATAGAGTGAGCAGTTGTGGCTACTTATTGTCAGAGATTATGGAATATTGTTACACGATTCCCTGAATCCTGCCCCTCCACCCAAGTTCCTTGTTGATTGAAGCTTCAGCATAGGACATGTCATGCAAATGCCATTGTGTTGCCAGTTTTTATTTGAACTACTGAAAATTTGGTGCACTGGTTTCTTACAAATATTCTGGAAGTGGTCTCTTAAAATTTCAAGAAAATTTCTATTAAAGGGCTGGTCAGGGAGAGGGGTAGTCTGTTAAATTGTATACAATTTACCTACAATATGTGACTTTCAGTGTTCGTTTCAAGAAAAATTTGTCTCCAAAAGGTTTGGTCATTTAATGGGGGGGTAATCTTTGAGACATTTCACTGCACGTGAAGTGTTTGAGGCATGAACTGTTGAAAGTGAAGATTTTAATTCCTCTTTTATGCTCTATAGGCAATTGTGTGTGCCCTGGAGCAGTTGAAATATTTAGGAGCAATTGAAACAGTTGATAATCCAGGTTTGACCAAATTAGGAATGAAAATGGCCCAGTTTCCATTAGATCCTCGATTCAGCAAAATTCTTCTTTCTGCAAATGAATACAATTGTGTGTGAGTATTGCTCTTTCTAGTCATTAACTCTCAAGAGATTATTGTAAAGAATGTTTTTAATCCTTACGATTCTTAAACTTTCAGGGAAGAAATTTTGAGTATTGTATCTCTTCTGTCGGGAGAATCAATATTTTTTATACCTCCCAATAAGAAAGACAAAGCATTAGCTGCTAGACAGAAATTTGTTTCACCTGCTGGTGATCATATTACTCTTCTTAATATTTATAGGCAGTACAGTTCCCTGACTGTAGCAAAGGTTTGTGTTTAGACATTTTTGCATGTTGGTTACCGGTCTTTGTGGAAATAATTTATATTGTAATAATTTTGTAGCAATGGTGCCAAGAAAATTTTTTGAATTGGAGGAACTTGCATTATGCCTCTGAAGTGCGAACACAGTTACAAGAGTTGTGCCGAAGATGCAATATACCTATGTCAAGTTGTGGACAGGATTACGATCAAGTACAAAAGTGTCTGATTACAGGACTATTCATGAACATTGCTGAGATTCAAAGAGAGCGGCAATATATGACTGTAAGTGTCACATTAATAAAAGAAAATTACTTACTTAGTAATAAATTAAATTACTTACATTTAATAGCAGCTGCAAAATCCAAATGATTATTTTCAAGCTACTGTGCCATGGAGGTCATAATTTTAAAGATTTATTGAATCGGTTAATAGTTGACCAGAACTGTTCACTATTAATGCGAAATATTAACCGAAGGAAAGAAATATATTATGATTAATTTAAATATGTAATATAATGTGTACTAAAAAGACTTCATTATGTTCGATTTAAAACTTCTTTTCATTTTGTTTCACAGGTTGGTTCCAGGCAGATTGTGTCAATTCATCCTTCTTCTACTTTATTTTGCTCTCAACCTCCTTGTGTTCTTTTCACAGAAGTTGTCCAAACCGGTCGTTGTTATATGAGACAGTTGTCTCGAATTGAACCTGATTGGGTAATGGATATTGTTCCTAATTTTGCCAGCAAGCATCGGCTCACTGCTCATGTTACGTGATGTTAATATATTTGTCTTTAATTTTGGGCTTACTGACCTATAATGTAATAGCACTTTGTTATTTGAGAGTAGAGAATTATATTAGCCTTATATAATATTTATATTTTGTATGATATATTGGCAATGATTGCTGTCTTGTTCCCTAAATGGGACTAGATTTGAGAATAAAACAGTTAATAAAACTAAATGAGCTGTTTTACTGATAGTTAAAATGAACTTGTAACTAAATCAGATAACTGGAATTGCTAAATACAGAGTTCCTTCGAATTTTATTTTTTTAAAAATCAGAAATTATGTATGTGAACATTTTAGTTGCATTCCTTTCCCTCTCTCTTGAGTGTGTATTCAGCTCTACCTTGTGCAATGTATAAAATATTTATTGACATTATGATACGCGTGATTGTAAACTGAATATGTTACAAAGATCTCATAGTTTTGTTGAATAAGAGCTTTCTCTGTTTCGATACCAATTGTTAAATGAGAGGGTCAGTGTTTTCAAAACTGCAGTTCTTTGATCTGCGATAACCCACCGGTAGTCAATACACCATTTCTCTATTTTAAAATGAAGTCATTGTCACTGTAGACAAAATGCTAGATTTTCAATGTTTATGAATTTCTGATAAATATATTGGTATTGTTGGTAGATATTTTATGAAAATTATAAGAGTAATTGAAAGGAATTTTATAATTACTTGTGTTAGGTGACTTTTGTATCAAATCATTAATAAGATAAAAAGTACAAGGTATTCTAATCTGCTGATAAGTTTTCATGCTGTGTAGGAGTCCATAAACAATTCAGGGAATTTTTGGTGAAATAGAATTTTCTTCTTTTGCCTATAATAAAATAGCTAAACAAGAAAAGTTTCCCTCTTTCTCGTCCATTAATATCCAAAAGTGGACGTTGAATACGGCACTTCAAGTGCTAGTTTTAAATAATGGAAAAGGGTCTGCTTTCGGAACAAATTCTTTCCCATGATTACTTGTTCTACATTGTTAAAATTGTAATGAAGTTTCTATATATAATTATTAAGTCCTTGTCATTGCATATTGGAGTGTTTTAAATTTTTGATTTAAGATGTTTAAAGATAGTGTTCTCGTGGTCAGATTTATTCCTAAGCTTTTGTAATGAGCAAAGCTTTTGCTTAGTACCAAGTCACACAATTGTTCTATTTTGCTCTGCAATATTTTGTATGCATTTTTTTGTAATTCTTGTTTCATATGTTGTATTTATGTTTGAGCATAAAATGTGGGGAAAGATGGTTTTGTAAAAAAGTATTGACCTCAAAATTGTTTGTTTTTATGTTGTTTCTTGGACTTCATAATAGTTGTAACTGGTAGAATTAAGAAACATATATGGACTGACTAACAGGTTTTTATAAATTATGGATATACTAAGGGCAGTGTAATTCTTAAAATCAATTCAGAAGCCTTACCATATTTTTCTTTAGTGTGGTAGTATGTTGTTTTTCTTTGTAATTATTTATATAAGAGTGCACAGTCCAAAATGAGTTACAAATTTTCAGTGATATAATGCGTTTCTGTTTTCAATATTAATCTAGGTACATTATAAATAATGTAATTACAACAAATAGCTAGAAATGTTTAACATTTAAGTATGTCCCTTTTTAATGTGAGTTGTTGTTGGGGTGGCATACTTGTATACGTGCATTCTGAAGTTTTATTTGGTGTGGCAATTTCTGTAATATATTTTTAGTTCATAATTTGAAAATCGAGGGACATGTCTTGGTACTAAAAGGTTCATGGCATATGACTGTATTTTTGAATAGGTAAATAGAATATGTCATTCAGTTGGAGCAACCATTTTCTGTGCTGTTCTTGATGTTGCAGTGATTTTGTTGTTTGGGCATTGTGAAGTAGGTTCGTGAATTTCTTGGTAAAGTTGGACTTTACCTGATTCATTATTTTGTGATATTATTTTATTCCCCTTTGTATATTATAGTAATTTTACTACAGACAATCAAACTGTGACAGAGTTATATTTTAAGAAATATGTCATTACATATTTTGTAAAATTTATTTATGTATTGCATATATGTAATACTTCATTTGATTACCCCAAATGCATATGATATTGTATGTTTATGTACATGAAGGATAAATATTAATATTTCCATATTATTATATTTAAAAAAATCATTTATTTGATTGTTCTTCATCTTCTGACTTCTTACTTCCTCTTTGCACCTAGAACCATTCATTCCTAGTTCATTTCGTAGAAGTTGTGCTTTTGAAAGGAAAAACAAAAACATTTTTTTAATTGCATTGTTTAATAAGTTTGTTTAGGAAAAAATAATTATGGAAAACTTGTCAATTGCATTGCCAATTGAATTCTTTCTCTATTAAATACTATTTAGTAGGGATAATTCTGTGAAATGCATTTTTGAACTAAGCATTTTAGGACAAAATATATCAAAGTTAGATCCTGTCCATATTTGAATCATTGACATTAAATGTATATTATTTTACACTACTGTTAAATAAAAATCAATTCACATAAAAGTTTCAACGTTTGTTGTTTTGAAACTGAGCGGTAAGCGTACTTTTTAGAACTTCCTGTGAAAAGCAGAAATAATTTATTGATTCCACTTCAAATGTTATAGCAACAGGAACATATTAAAATATTTTATTTAACAATAGGGTATCTTCTATAGCTTGTCATATTCACATTTAAGTAATAAAGCTAACTGATATGGAATATGTTTTTCTCTTAGATGAAGAATTACTAGCCGGTATTGTAAAGTATGAATAACGTCTCGTGAATTAACATTACTATTTCAGGGACATTATTAGCATTTCCAAGCCAGTGGTAAAACTAGTCCACTTGCAATGACAAATCAATTCTAAAAGTTCTGGCTTCATGGTTCAAGAATGGTTTTACAATTTTGATTTAAACTACGCGGCAGTGAGTAGTCTGTAGAACCCGAGTATTATAGGTAGAATGGCCACTGGCGTCACTGTCAGCGCAGGCGCGTTAGGGGCATCCTTGAAAGAGGAGGGGGGAAAACTCGGTCGCTAGTGTGTCACGTTCTTAGTTCACGTGCCGAGGCCAGACGTAGTAGAGTGTCTTGTGTGTGAAATTTGAACTTAACTCAGACCAGTTTCATCTGAGTGCTAGTGGAACTGAACTTTTGTTCAGACGTTTATTAGATCTAAATAAATTATGAAATTTTAGTGATTGTGGTATTTACCTGCCTCAAAGTTCCGCCTCATTAAATTGGGTAAGTTGTCTCCTGAAGTGCGTTGTTCACTTCAGTTTCGTCTTTTCATAATAGGGACATACATAGTAGTAACGCAAACGTTCCGAGCCATTTTTTGAATATATATGAAGCAAATACGTACATTGTGTTGAAGGTGCATTAAAAATTAATTTGGATTTTTTCTTCTTTCATTTTTGAAATAACATTCGCGACTTGAGTACTGTAATCCAATGTTCTCATGGGACGATCGTAATGATGTTTTTACCGATAATTAATATAGTTCGTAGGCATTCAGACACCTACAAAATAAAAAGGCTAAAATTTAATGTAAGATGTTGACAGCTGTCAGAGTGGAATGTAAGTCATGCAAAAGAAATATCTACGCTTATTTTTACACATTGGGAGAGTATTGACCTGCACCTTTCCTATCAGTAAAGGATAATGTGTTAGTTTATAAATAACAATCAAAATATTATTTGAAATGGTTTATTCATGGTTGGAGTATAATGTCGAAAATAGTCTCATCTTCATTCAAATTTAATAACATTCATTGGAATATTTTTCAATGAAAAATTCTTTGTGTTGAGAAATGAATTGAGCAAGATAATACGTTTGTTGACCAGGAAGTGGGAATATTTCTCTAATTTTGAAGACTATCTTCATCACCTGAATTATGTGCAAACATTGTGATTAGTTAAGTCTGGAGTGTTTGTATGTTTACATTCACAATAAATAAGTTGTTTATATTTGCAGGAGTGGAAGAAAATGTCAACCGTGAATTTGTTGCGGTATTTAGAAGGCCACAGTAATTCATCTTGGTTGTTTATATACTCTTCGCTCAACACCTAACTGGTGAGTGGGCGCGACTCTTACCGTGTACCATTGACTGCGCGAGAAAGAGTTCGTGTGATTACGTAACAAATGTGCACGTGCCAAGGTTATACCCATTCTTGCGCTCCATAACGAGACTTCGGAAGAGAAATTCGGGCTTTGAATGAATTGTCTTCAGAGTCGAAAAAGTATTGGGGGGGGGGCTTTTCAGATCCCATATCCCATTTCTTCGTACACATGTTTGTGAAATAATAAATTGATAGCTAGAAATAAAAATAGGATATTCATGATAATAAAACTCCGTTTCGTGATTACTTAGAGATAATTTTTATAAAATAAATTGAGTTAAGTTGAATTCAATATTGGCCCCGTTGGATTACTTGTTGGCGAGAAGTTCAGTGGCAATCCGAAGAAAATCACATTCGTAGTTTGCTTTATTTAGACCGTACAATTTATGTATATGGAAAAAGTATAATTAATATAAATTATTTCTTAATAAATTAAGAATACATTATCTTAAACCTTTTAGAAATATTTTCTTGAAAGTAAACTTGCAATATACGTAACTCTTTATTTCGTTTCAGCATATGCTATGCTACTTCGTAGAATATGAAAAATATGTTTTAATAACATTGTTACTTTAATGATGCAGTCTTTTCTATCGCCATATTAAATGTCACTAATTTTATATTCAGATTTCTTTAAGTTGGTATCTAATTCACAGAATGTTGTAAAGACACTGCATGTCACTGATCTCATCATGGTAATTACTAGGAAATGAACTTTCAAGTAAATATATTTTTACAGGGATAAAATTCCTGCATTCGGTAATATTTATTAGAGTTTACAAGACATTTCGAACGAATAAGAACATTTTTTTTTACATAATTACATATTTTTCCTATTACAATTTTTCTTATTTCATTCCTTTTAATATACTTTGAAACAGGACATTTCAGATGTGAATTCGCAAATAATGTTACTGGAATCATCTTTCTTACAAAGCAATGCAATGCGTCCCTTTGACAACCAGGCCTTCCTCATGAATTGTCAAAATTGCTTCCCCGCTCCCTGCTTTTCGAAATCGCCTACTTGAGCTCAGAGACAAGCGAAAGTATGTGAAGCAGAAGTGATTTCAACCACGTACTATCTCATATTTCATAAATTCCATGCGTAGGTCATTGTTTTATTGTGTTGTTTGAGTTGAGAGTCCCTTCTCCCCCACCTCCGGAATCCATCACGATTATACCATTCATTTGAGCACTGGCTCCTCGTATACAATATTGTATATACTACGAATGTATTTTATATTTCGAATGAAACTGTTGTAAAATTCCTTTTCTATCGGTAGAACTTTCTTTTAGCCTCTCTGAATTCATATGAAAATCTGATCGGCGACATTCTGAACTCGGAAAATGTTTGAAAAGAGGAATTTTAAACACTTCAATTATTTTTTCTTCTTACAAATTTACGTTTTGTCGCAAATATAAAATGGACTTCGGAGATCTGGCAGAGGTAAAAGTGAATACATCAGAAAGGAGCCAGAAGAAATAAGTGAGGGCTACCCATGTTGAGCTGTCTGTCGCTGAATAAGTTATCAATAGCGTTGGCTTTATTTGTTGCCATTCTTAATCCGGAATCAAGTGTGCCATTACACAAATTTGAAGGTACAACTCAAAGCTTAATAAACCTACCTCAACTTCAAAAATAAATATTAAAACTATCATTAATATACTGAGTAGTAGTTATGATCAATTTATTAGTTAAGGTTGGAAATTTATAAAGAAGTACATTTATTGGTTTGCATAAGTATTTTATTGAAATAATGGATAGAAATAAAAATTATTTTTCTTTCATGGACGAAGTTTATTACAAAAAGAAAAAAGAAAATCAGTACAATGCAACAGAGGCGCACCTAGAATTTTCCTGTGTGGTGTGTGTTTGTGTGTGTGGGGGGAAGCGGGTAGGACGACTTCAGGTATAGTGTTTAGCCAACGTGATGTTTTATTGTTCAGATTTTTTTATTTATGCTGAATATAAACTAATTTTATTTGTTGACTTATAGTTTATATATATATATACTACTAACGTTAACTAACGTTAACAACTGATTTACTGATTACTACACTAACAACTGATTACTTTCGTTTGTATAGAAATTTAGTGAAAGATAAATTTTATTGTTATTAACAAATGGGCCATGGGCTACGCGCGATCTTTCCTTCCTCCTCGCACCCCCTTACTTACTTACTTACTTACTTACACACAAGCACACACACGCACGCACGCACTTGCTCACGCCTAACATACACTACACTACCAGGGATGCCGGGAGACCGGTCGGGCCCCAATTAGGGCGGTGCTCCGCGGGTTGGAAGTTACCTGGTTGAAAACCCTGTAAGCCGAACGTCGCCACACAACGGGGAAGATCACACGTTCCGCAATAAACATGTGCTATACTTACAGGATTAATGGCCTTAGCAGTTAGCGCGACTTGAATCACTAATCAATCAACACGTACATCTGTTGATTAATTAACTGTTCAGTCTGTCTTCTAATGTATATTTAATTAACTCGTACGTTTATTACTGCATGTCTTTCCTGCACTGTTACGGAATACGTCTCAGCCTGAATATTATATTAAACATTGTTAATTCCTTCTAAATGACCACGTATACTTGTTAGCGTGAAATCCATCCCTTTTTCACATTTCACTTGTCCCCTTTTCGTTGTCCCTTTCATTGCATTTCTTTCCTTCATATTCCTGGCAACTGTCTTTCGCCAAACATTTTATTTGCATTACTAAGGGGCCAAAGTATCAGTGGCCTTCAAGCATACGTGTCTCGTGATTTCCAATATACTCTTGACACTATAACAATGTCTCATTGTTTATGTAACTATGGGGTCAATAAAACAGACATTGCTAACCGAAAGCATAGCGTATGGAAGAACATGCAATACTTTCGAGCAATATTTGTAACTTTTACGGTTTTCGAAAATACAGTTTCCCGAAAGCAGGACCGGTGGCATTTTATATGTATAGTTTGCACTATTCCACACACACACACACACACACACACACACACACACACACACACACACACACACACACACACACAGGTAAAAAGTTAAGAAAGGAGAGAGATTGGAAGACGGGCAGACGTTGGTTTTGCATCAACCAGTTTTGCGTCAATTAATTATTCGGTAATCACAAATTCTGGATTCTGACTATATAACGTGTTAGAATAAGTAATTTACTACTTAGAGGAACAAGATTTATCCGCTTCAAGGGCCTGCCACTAGGATTTTTTATGTAGAAAAATCGCCGTCTTTGCCGCAGCATTATCGTACTTTCTCTTTACTCCGTAAGGTGTATGAGAGAAAGTATATTATTACTTTCTCGGAATTAGAGGACTCAAAAATGTTTGTTTCAGTTACCTGATTGACATCACATGTGAAACCGATAACTCGTGCACCAGCTGCCTCAAACTATCAAAGAACCTGGACAATAATTTTTTGGAGAATATCAGCAGGCGTTGTATTACTTCTGTCATAAATAGCCATTGCTTGAAACCAATTATGTAGCAAAGGAAAATACACTAGTCCTTCAATGATGTCGTAGGCTTCCGCGGCCAGAGTCATGATCTGGGCTGTCCGGGTGATGCCGCGTCGATGGCTGATGTGTCGATCCACGCACTTCCTGTCCGTCCGATCGCCCGCCTCCTTTCACCCTCCACCTGATTGGCTGTCACCTCGACCTATCACCTGGATTGACCTATCACCTGAATTGCCTCAATATAAACAAGAGCGCCCTACATCATTGCGCAGTACAGCCCCTGAAGAGAACCGCGACATGTCGGTCGAAACGTCGGCACATCAGCCATCGACGCGGCGTCACCCGGACAGCCCAGATCACACTAGTCCTTCGTTTGATTTGCTTTGGCGAGTGGCTTTAGGTTGTCCATTTTAACAAAACAATACAATTTGAACGTGGTATTATTAATGAATGTCCTCCCTTGTGACATTTCATCAAAACTTGCAATGCCATATTTTGTGGTTTTGTCAGTTTTAGTTCTGAAGAGCTCCGAAATAGACACCAAGAGACACAGGTTTATCCTGCAAGATTATTTTAACACCTTACAAAGTTGCTCAAGTATCTTTCTGAGTGGAAAGGTAATAATTTATGCTTAAACAAAGTATGTACCTCGTAGGCGATTTTATTTTCAGCAACAAAGTTTCTATGCCAAAGGAACCTTTCATGTGACATTTTTTAATCATGGCATCAATAACTTATTTTTCGCATTGAAATTTCGTTAATTGTGAGCAATGTTAATTTTTTATCTAGCTCATTAATTCTAGATTTGGCTGTATTCAGACGCATTTTAGTTCGTATTATGAGCGATTGAGATTTAAAAGGTCTAATTCAATGGGACATTGTTTGAAAGAAGAACTGCACCCTCTCGGCGAGGGAATTTTTATCTTGATTCGCTATTGGATCACTTGAATAACCTGACTTACGTTTAACTTCATTTTCCTTCTTTGCCGGCGTTTTATGTTGAAATGAATGGAAATTAGTAAATGTATGACGAACTGCCTCAATTTTTAGTAAATTATTATTCCTGAATAAGTCTTTATTTTTAATAAAAAGCGAAATAATTAATTCTTTGCCAAAATGCAAATCACAAATTCTAATATTGAAAGTTTTCTGCTTTCCTAGGAATCGAACTAACCCACTAAGAACTGACTTTCGACTTTAAGCACGCTAAAATAATTTTTGTTACTTGCCTTCCTATCATTTCAAGACTTCCAGCATTTCATTTTTTCATATGACTCATTTTATGACTTAAATCTTCGGTTCACTATAAATCCGTCTTAGCAGTTTGTTTCCGTAACTACTTACATTTCAAACGAACTCCAACGGAGAAAACAATCACACCATAATAATATTGTAAACAACTCTAAATCGCAATAAAAATTAATTCATCATAAATGAAAAATTATTTAAAAGAAAGCATAAAGTT